CTGACTAGAATGTATGAAGGGAGTGGGTACAGGAAAAAAAAAAGACTAAGATTAAAATGGGAGTCACTGGTCCCCATCTGCAGCTATACTTCTGATGCTTCCAGATGTGGTCAGTGTAACATGTGCAGGGTAGAGGTGCAGAGAAATGAGGGCCAGGAAGGTGTTCCCTGGGCAGCATTCTGTCTGCTAGCCTTCACTTCTTCGCCTTGCCCTGGGCAGCCACAGCTTCCATGGCTTTACGAACGGTCTCTTCATCCCCCAGGAACTGCATGGGCTTGATGGGCTTCAAGTTCTTGTCCAATTCGTAGACCATGGGAATACCAGTCGGCAGGTTCAGCTCCATGATAGCCTCTTCAGAGAGACCCTCCAGATGCTTGACAATGCCCCGGAGGCTGTTGCCATGGGCTGCAATCAGTACCCGTTTTCCCTCCTTAATCTGGGGAACTATTTCTTCATTCCAGAAGGGCAGAGCTCTAGCAATAGTGTCCTTCAGACTCTCACAGGAAGGCAGCTGGTCTTCAGTGAGATCTGCATACCTGTGATCCTTACTGATGTTACTATAGAAGGGATGATCAGGCTCCATCGGAGGTGGGGGGACATCATAGGAGCGCCTCCAAATCTTGACCTGAGCTTCACCGTGCTTGGCTGCAGTTTCTGCTTTATTGAGGCCAGTCAGACCCCCATAGTGCCGCTCATTGAGGCGCCAAGTCCTCACCACAGGCAGCCACATCTGGTCAATGGCATCCAGCACTGTCCAGAGGGTCCGGATTGCTCTCTTCTGCACTGAGGTGAAGCAGATGTCAAATTCATAGCCAGCATCTCGAAGCGCCTGCCTGCCGCGCTTCGCCTCTTCGTGGCCCGCTGGACTCAGGTCGGCGTCGTACCAGCCGCTGAAGCGGTTCTCTAGGTTCCAGGCGCTCTCGCCGTGCCGGATCAGCACCAACTTATACGCAGCCATGGCAGCAGAGGGAGGATGCGACGCTCGAATTCCTTCTTCTTAACGACTAAATAGTATTTCATTGTTTACATACATCACATTTTCTTTCTTTCTTTTTTTTTTTTGAGACAGAGTCTCATTATGTCACCCTTGGTAGAGTGCCGTGGTATCACAGCTCACTGTAACCTCAGATTCTTGGGCTTAAGCGATTCTCTTGCCTCTGTCTCCCAGGTAGCTGGGACTACAGGCACCCACCACAATGCCTGGCTATTTGTTGTTGTTGTTGTTGTAGTTGTTGTTGTTTGGCAGGCCAAGCCCGGCTTTGAACCCACCAGCCCCAGTAATATGGCTGGTGCCCTAGATGCTGAGCTACAGGCGCTGAGCCACATCACATTTTTCTTTTTTTTTGAGACAGAGCCTCAAGCTGTCCCCCTGGGTAGAGTGCCGTGGCATTACAGCTCACAGCAACCTCCAACTCCTGGGCTC